TTGTTACTACTACTACTACTACTACTACTACTACTACTACTACTACTACTACTACTACTACTACTACTACTACTACTACTACTACTACTTAAAACATTTATATAGCGCTCAACCACGATTAAAGTACACAGGCCTGAGCGCTTTGAAATATAATACAACAGGGTAACATAAAACGTTGTGTTCTGACCAAAAGAAAATCACTCCAAATTTTCATCTTATTTTTTTTATGAACTTAAATGACTTCAGTTGACATTTGAATTAATGAAAAGATTTGATCTTTCTTAAAGTACTTAGCAGAGCATTCCAGATCTTGGGGCCTTGACATTCAAATGCCATTTTACCCATTGTTTTAAGTTTCATAGATGGTAAAAGAAATTTCTTTTTATCAACTGATAACCCTAAACTGCGAGTTGGAAGGTACATTCTCAACAGATTTGATAAATATGATTTCGCATTATCATTCAAGCATTAAAATTGGGACATAGGTTGACCAACTTGTACACAATTCTTTTCTCAACAGGAAGCCAATGCAATGTCCGTAAAAGAGGTGTAGCAGAATCTCGCTTTCTTTCCGTAAGACTAAACGTGCAGTATTGTTTTTGACATTTTGAAGTCTTTTAACTTTCTCCAGTAACATTCCTGATATCAAGGAGCTACTATAATCGAGTATTGATAAAACTAAACTAGTTACTAGTAAGGCAGTTTACTTAGTATTGATTAGATGACGTAATTTACTATTTAAAACAATATTTCTAAATATATACAGCTGGTCAGATGATTTACCTCAGCCAGCATTGGCAAACTGGAATAAAAACATATGCATCCGCAGAGCAGAACAATTCTCTCCAGGGAAATATAAGAAATCTAAGAATTCAATGTTTAAGGTGGGGGGGGTTAAATTGATGATTTTTTGTCAATTTATGGTATCCGGACCTTTTACATATTATAATACTCCAATCACTTGTAAACCTAAAAAGTGCTTACTTTTTGTTTTATAATCATCATCTTTCAGATTTTCTGTCTTAGAACTTTCATGTTGCCTATTACGTAACAGAATATCGTTTTTTCTCAAAACGTCAATTTTTTATGTGTTTTCTCATCTACTTTTTTATTTTCTTTTTGATTCCAATGAAAATTTCTGGGCTTGTTACTCATACCGTAACCTAACTTTATACAGGTGGAAAATAAAATGGATGCATTCAAGAATGAGTTACATGAATGAATATGTAATCGAATTCAGAGGCATGAGGGGGTAGGTCAGTTATCCATCTGTAACTTTTTTTCCTATTCAAGATATTCAAGATCCCAACTGTATGAAATTTTGTATTGAGTATATCTATCAATGTATCAAATTTAATTTGTTGGTAAATAAAACATCGTTTTTACTTTTATGAAAACTGTTTATTTTCAATATTGCGGCCGTTACCATAGCAACCGTAGATTAAAAACAAACAAACATTAAAGTTACATTTTACATATGTTTTCCTGTTATACCTCTTTGCCATAAGGCTTTACCTAAAAAGGTCATAGTTACCGAGATAGGTTTGTACCCCCCCCCCCCCCCAAGATGATTTGTGGCTTCTACTGTGGCCATTGAGACCAGTAATAGGTTCTTCAGTAAATTGTCATTTATCTATGTCTTTTTCCAGGCAGTGCTTTGACTGAAACTACGAGCGTACTTGGCCTGTCACTAGCTGGGCTGTCCAATGTGATCCTAGCAGCGCGCAACGTGTCTATGAAAAAGCTCCAAAGCGTACCGAAGGAGGCCAACACAACACCCAGTGAGATAAACACGCACACGAGCGAACCACAGAAGAAAAGTGGCGCAGTCCTTTTGAGAGATCCAAAAACTGTTGCCATTCGGGTAGCTGAGCTAGCAGCAATCGTTATTGGTGCTTTCTATTTACAGAGCCAACATATACTTCCAGGTAAATTTATGTTTTTATGGCTTTATATCCTATTTCAGTGGTGTGTGTGGCGTATTGGCCAGACACACTTATAGCCTACTTAGTAGCATCACCTCTACTTCATACAAACTTCAAATACTCCCTCCCCCCTGAAAATCGAAGAAGGATAAAAAAAACACGTGATACATACACATACTACATGAATACGATTTTGAGTAAATTGAGTTTGCAGTCAGGAGCATGAAATGCTAAAAAGGATACAAACAATCATGCCACTATAATTGAATAATATATCACACCAAGATTTTCTACCGAATCCTCCCCCCTCCCCCCAAAACAGTTAATTAATAAAAATATAAAAATAATAGCAAATGCAAAAAGTTATTAAAAACAATCCAAGATGTTTGATTTCTTATGGCATACACATTGGTGGCTTTACGTTGCTACGGTTTAGTCTCAGTTCTGTCTGCATTCCTGTTTGTTTGTTTGATATCTGATTCTTTTCGTCTCGAATATTTTTGTCCAACATTAAGGATCGCCTTGCAAGTTACAGCAAATTTTTGTAAAATATTTGAAATAACAATACCTGTTTTTAAAAAATCCAACAATCATCATCATCATTGCCTTTCTCACCCTGGGTCAGGATATAGGCCACGAACAAACACTCTCCACCTTTCCCTATCCTGGGCTGGTCGCTTGATTTCACTCCACGTTTTCCCACTTTTCTGTACATCCATTTCCGTGACTCTTCTCCAGGTTCCACGAGGTCTTCCCCTTGATCTTTTACCCTGTGGGTTCCAATCTAACACTTGTCTTGCTATGCAGCTGCTTGACTTCCTGAGAGTGTGTCCAATCCATCGCCAACGTCTTCTTCCCACCTCATCTCTGACCGGGCTCTCTCTGGTTCTTCTTAATACTTCCTCGTTGGTGATCCTGTCTGTCCATTTGATCCCCAGCAGCCTCCTCAGACACTTGTTCAAGAAAACCTGGATCCTCTTTATGCACATATGGGGTGCGTTCCACGTCTCACATCCATACGACAGGACTGACTTCACATTTGAGTTGAAAATTCTAAGCTTTGTTCGTAATGAGATATCCCTGGTCCTCCAAATCCTGCTCAAAGAAACAAATGCAGCCTGTGCCTTTCCAATGCGGGACTTTATTTCAGCGCCTGTTCCTCCCTCTCTGTCAATTATACTCCCAAGATAGCAGAAGGATTCGACGTCTTCTAGTGCATTTCCTTGTACTGTGACCTGCTCTTTTCGCCGTGCATCTATCCTTAGGACTTTCGACTTTCCGGGGTGGGTCCTCAATCCAACAGACTCGGATAGGCTGTTTAAAATCTAACAATAGCATCTCTTTTTTTTTTGCTACTTCCCTTTTCTTTCAGGGATGAAGACAGAGCAAAACGTTGTCTACTGAACCATGTTGTCCATATATTTCAGTGCCAATACCATACATGGTCAGTCTAGCCATCGGATCTGCCATATTCCACGTCAGCTACTCTTACATCTCCACAAACGTAGTACTCAAGGTGAGTTGTGTGCACCAGTGACTTGATATACGTAGTGTTGAAGGAAGTGATCTATTCCTGTAAAGTAATTGGCTGTGCTTTGTGTGTTGTTGTTGTTGTTGTTGTTTGTTTAGTGTAGCAGATTTTTACAACTTCATCCACACAGTTTAGATCATTTGTGAGACGGCTTTCGACCCTGTCTATCAGGCCAACCCGAAGTGAGAGGGACACAACGTCCCAAATAAAAAGACCGATGTTCTCGCTACACGGTATTCGAACTCATGTCTTTTGCGTGATAGACCACAGAAGGCGGTTATGGTTACCTTTTCCAGCATGTTTACGGATATGCTGGAATAGATAGCAACTGATAAGCAACGTGAAATTGGTCGATATGAATCAGAGCAAACGGAATGTGTTGGTGACAAAAAGATGAATGTATTACCTTGTCACATCTTGTCCTCAGTGTTGGGGTTACTATTGTCTTGTCCCCCCCCCTCTTTACAGACTCCATCATAATCTGGTTGGAAGTTGGTCGGACTGGAGATGAATGTGTTGTTTGAAGGAAGTGTCAACAGATCTATCTATCTATCTATCTATCTATCTATCTATCTATCTATCTATCTATCTATCTATCTATCTATCTATCTATCTATCTATCTATCTATGCAGATCGACATACAGACAGACAAACAGAGACAGAGGGAGAGAGGAGAGACAGAGATAGATGGATGGATGGATGGATGGATGGGTGGAAGAATGGATGGATGGATAGATGGATGGATGGATGGATGAAAAAAAAGATAAAACTAATTTTTGTATCATTCTCCCCCCCCCAGACTATGTCCGTGGTGAGTCACTCTGTGGCAAACATCTTCAAACGTATTCTTGTCGTGCTCCTGCTGTACATGGGCGGTCAGCGATCAGCCAGCCCCTGGCACTTCTCTGGTCTACTTCTGGCCGTCCTCGGTCTGGGTGTCTATATGATGAAGAAGATACAACAGCTCATGGACAATGGAAGACCACAAACGTTTTTCACCAGTAAGTGACGAAGAGACGGACAAACCGCTACCGTAGAATTACAAAGTTTTCTCTGCTATGAACCTAGTTTTGAGAAAGGTGGTGTTAAAAAATTTGAGCTTCACATCATGTCAAGCTCTTTCGAATACAATTCTTTGAATATCTTGATAGCGACTTTGAATAATTTTATGATTTCGATAGAGAAGATAGAAAATTTGGTCTCTGACCTGAAGGTCTTAGTGACTCAAAACGTCCAAAATGCGAGATGCGGTTTTTTGGGACATCTGAATAGACATAAAGGCCTTGGAACATCTGGCTCTTACTGGTAAAATTGAAGCCAAACGAGGCAGCGCGACCTACTCGAAGATCCTAAACAGATGGGTGACGGGGAAAGCTCGGTGTAATGTAGCTTTTTTTAGAGAGTATCCGAGCAGAAGGAATGGAGAGCCACGATTACCGATATCTGTCTCACATTTGATCACGTGATGATGATTATGATGATGAAGTGTTGGTTGCTCTTATGATTTCGTGTGAATTAAAAACACACACTCAGACACCATAATATATCATTCTAAAAGCGTCTTTTAATCTCGATTTATAATTTTTTCTGAGGGGGGGGGGGGATTTCCCAATAATGTCGAGGTCGATTAATAGGTCTAACATAATGCTACCTCAGAATTACAAAGTTCTACCTGACGTGTTTAGTCGCTGTAAGTTATTAAGACCATGAGGTCAGAAATTAATAAATGTTTTTTATCTGGTCAATCAAAATCGAACAAATTATTCGGGGTCGTTATCAAGATATTCAAACTATAGCATTCGGAGGAAAAGCTTGACATGTTGAGAAACAAAAAAAAAAAAAAAAAAAAAAGACGGCAAACTTCTCAAAACTAGGTCTGAGCAAGTAGAACTTTGTAATTCTAAGATAGCAATAATACTCTTGGGAAACTATCAAAGCTGCGCATTTTCTTTGTTTAGTTGTAGTCGGGTTTTACGGCGCTCGCAACTGCATAAGGTCATATGAGCACCAAGGGGTGGATATCAACAGAGAAGTCCAAACGGGGAATCAGGCTTACTCTGCTCACCTCTCTAGCCTCAACCGCACAAAGTCTGCTTCGACTATCAAGGCAGCCCTGAAATAGCAGTTCACAAGATAGTGACAAACATGCGAAAGAGGTAAAGGGAAATAACGATAGTAAGGATGAGGAAAGAAAAAAGCAGCAGTTCCCCCTATGTTGTTCCGGCACAGTATGAGCCTGAGGGGGGGGGGGGGAGGGGCACTTTCGGAATAAAACACCCCCCCCCCAAAAAAACAACAACAACAACAACAACGACAACAACCCCCCAAACAAATACAAAACCCAACTATCAGATCCACGAAAGTTTGGGCGATATCGATACAAATAGATTGCCGATTCCATCCAACGGCCAGTCCCCTTGACAAAATTACTCCGTACTATTTCCATAGCGTTCAGTGTCACGAAAAATAAGAAATGGAATTGGTTTTCAAATCTGCAACATTTTCACGTTTTGTGTACAAAAATACTTTCTGTAGTTGAGCCCCTAGAGTACAGTGAGTGAGCAAAAAGAACCCATTGCCTTACTGAGATAAATAGTGAGTTGAAACCAGACGACAGAAGGAATGTGTATTAGCAGTATCTTTCCTTTCTTGATCACCAAGGCTGACACAAGGCTAGAGTGTTTTACTTCTCAAAAGGGCAGTGAAAACATTTTTATAGAAAACTCTAGATTCAGAGTTGGCAGAAGGTCTAGCTTTCACATTATAGTGTGGTCAAAAATTCGTGGCGCAACTTATTCTCAAAATATCTTTTTAACGGGTAAATCATCACCCACACTTTGCACAGCAGTTTGTCTCAATTTGGCTTAACTTACTCATATTTTTTCCACAACATTTGAGGCTAAATTAAAATACGTTACTTCATAAATGTATATAAAATGCTACAAATCTCCATCACGCGGAAAATGGAATTGTTCATATAAAAAAAAACAACTTTTTTGGGTAGGTGTTTTACGGCGCTCGCAACTGCATAAGGTCATATGAGCGCGCGGGGCACATTAAACTTTTTCAATTGTAAGGACATTTTGAATTTTGCCCGGATGGCGGCCGAAGCCTACTCTTATCGACTTAAGTCCACCAAGGGATCTTCTTTGTTTTTGTTTTTGTAAAGTGTTTTACGGCGCTCGCAACTGCATAGGTCATATTGGCGCGCGGGACACACCTAATATTTTCAGTTGGTAGGAAATTTTGAATTTTGCCCAGGTGGCAGCCGAAGCCTACTCTTATCGATTTTAGACCACCAAGGGATCTTTAACGTGCGCAACTTGCACACGGGCCCTCCGAGATTTTTCGCCCTTGTCCGAGAAGGCTAGGTGTAGATCTTTCCTACTAGAAGATCAGGGGTGTGGCAGAAAGACAGCAGTAAGGAGGAGCCAAGGAGTAGCAGTAGAAAGGCTGCAGAAAGAGTCAGGAGCCCAGAGGAGGGGGCAAAGGAGTTGAGGGGGTGGGGGCAGAAAGTGGAATTGAAAGCAGACAACAGAACATTGCTAGAGAGCTGGAAAGGAGGTGAAAGGAGACAATTTTAGAGAAGAAAATTTTTCGGTCGCTACCCGGATTCGAACCCGGGACCTTTGAATGAGAGGCCAACACCTTAACCTCTAGGCCACGAGAGCCCCCTCAAGGGATCTTTAACGAGCGCAACTTGCTCACGGGACCTCAGAGATTTTTCGCCCTTGTCCGAGAAGGATAGGTGTAGATTTTTCCTACCAGAAGATCAGGGATGTGGCTGAAAGACAGCAGTGAGAAGGAGCCAAGGAGTAGCAGTTGAAAGACAGTAGAAAGAGTAAGAGTCAAGAGGAGGGGGCAAAGAAGGTGAAGGGGTAGGGGCTCTGATGTTCCCCTATACTCAGTCCTGAGATTGCGTTTGAATGTTCTCTACATTAAACGCATCACGGGTTGGTAGTCTGTATATAACCTGAGTCAAACAGTGCTCGCTGATTTTCAGGATCCTTTCGGGTTGGTGGAAAGTGAAAAGGGAAATTGTGACAACAGTTATAACATATTGTGTAGGGTCATTATCCAAATATTTTTAAAATTTTCAATTGACTTTCTGCAACTATATTTAAGAAATGCTGCTAAATGTAAGGCGGAAGCGGAAATTTGCGCCAGTTATGTCTGTTGGTATCGGTTCTTTTTTAGAGCATCAGATGGGTATCGAGTGGGTAATACATTTTTTTTGGTGTGTATTAGAGCTCTTCCGTTTGCCCAGTATCGAGACTGTCTGCTTTTTGTCTGATCTCATAATATCAACTTATGCTCTTTTTGAAACAGGATATAGTCTTGGTACCATACTTGTTGCCCTCAGTTGAGAAAATTATTAGCCTAGTCCTTTTTGCAACATCAACAAAACTAATTCCCTCAGTCTCAACCGGTAGGACTATTTGATACTATGATTGTCGTTATCACCAACAAAATCTGGCACAAATGTCCGTACCCCATAGGAATCTATTATAAAACCTCTTTTTCAAACAGGGGATTTCCAAACTAATTCAAATACTGTTTTTAGATTCTAGAAAACATTTAAAAAAATAAATTCAAAGCGTATGTCGAATACTTATTTGTACTTATTTATTAACTTATAGCTCCTTTTTTGATTTACCAGAATAAAACATCTTCATTTCACAATATCGAGTTGAGAGGGAAACCAATAATAATAATAATAAAAAAGATAAATACATTACGTATGTATATATTATACTAGCTGGGCCCCCTTCCGATGAAAGGAAAGATCGGTGCATTAACATCAACGGAAAGTCTTTGGCCTACTATATTTCATAAGATGTACACTATAGTAGTTTAAAAGGGGGTAACTCTATGCTATATTTACACTCTTCTGGAATGGAGCAAAAAATCTTCAGAGAAAAGTGACACATGTGTTTCCAAGTTGCCAAATATATACATGTAATAGGTATATAGATTGATTCTCTATTTCGCTTTCGTGTATGTACATTCCATAATTTCAAAGGTGTGGAATCAGTACTGGCGCACGGCTAGTGAACGGAAACCTCACCTGTTTACAATGGCGTCTTAGAAGACGGAATTTTCCCAAGATTAGTTCTAAACGAAACTAATAAAAAAAAAACCTGAAAATTAAACTACAATGACTTCAGGCTCCTCAATGAAACTGTACCCTTCAAATGATTCTGAACCACCATTAATTTCATGAAATTCGAAAGTTAAAGGGTTCGGAAGGTTTAGGTGGCAAAGTGACAAACTTTCACAAATATATTATGTAGAGATAATATCCAAATCATCCCCAACAAAAAGGAACAAGAGCAGAAAGCATTAATGTAACATGTGGGTGTAACTCTTCAGAAGATTCCAATTACAACAACCAAATGAAATGAACACATACATGCTAAAGTCGCAAAAAAAGAATAAATAAAAAGTAGACGCTAAATGAATAAATAACAATTAATCGATAATAGACAAGCAATAGATAGAAAAAGCTGTATAAATAAATAGTTTAAAGATTTACGCACAGAGTGAGTAATTTTTTACGATACTTTTTGTAAACGTTTTCTTTTGGTTACTTTGCTTTCTGTGTCACTTGCATACATAATGCTGATTCTTTTTAAAAAATACTCAAACTGCACCATATGCTGAACATTTTGACCTGCCCAGAACTATCAGCTACTTTGCAATATAGAATGTTATAAGATTGTATGCTACTTCTCCTCATTTCCTTAAGCTAGAACTGTGTATTCAACATAATCTGAAATAAATTTAGAAATATTTTCCACTGTTTACAGGTCAAGTGAATGCATAATTCCTCCATCGAATCAGTTGACTAAAGTTGTCTTTTTATCCTCCCATCATTGATCCCCACCTCTAGGTAGCAAACCTGCTTGGATGCTGAGGAGCTTGCTTCTGATCTTCATCGGGTTTGGACTGTCTATGAATCTTGGAACTGTGAAATTGGCAAGCCAGGGCAGGAAGGGAATAGCATATTCTTTTAGAGACCCATTCGACCAAAGAAGTGAACAAGCGAGTAATTTTACCCCTCAATATTCCAGCAACCTCGCCTGGTATTCAAGTGCGGCCTATCAAAGCATTATAAAGTCTTCCACCATGGATTCCAAAGACGTTGAAGATTTTTTGTCTCTGAGACTTCTGGATCATCCCCTGGAGACGGACGTCCTTTCTAAAACGTTGAAAAGTAACGAGGCTTTGATACTGGAAGCTCAGCGAATTCTCCTCAATATGCTCAGAGATTTGCTCGGCAAAGCTCGTCACGTGATGTTGTTTGAAATAGCGACGTACAGCAACAAGGGAGACCCTGCCATATCTGTCGGAGAAGCCATGTTACTGAGGAAACTCAACGTCACAGTGGTGTATTATTGCGAGACAAAGCACTGTACAGCAGAGAGCGTTGAGCGTGCGAGAAAGATCAGCGAGTCGTATGAACAGGATGAATTAGTAATTTTAATGCAGGGAGGTGGCAATTTGGTAGGGTATCATAATGTCGATTTAGTCCGTGAACGCGTTCTGAATGCTTTCCCCACTAGAACTAAAGTGCTATTTTCCCAGAGCATCTGGCTAAACAAGTTTAATAATGAGAGCCTACTACACTGCCAGAAAATTTACTCAAACCGACCGAATTTCGTGATGTTCCTAAGAGACCGCCAGTCCTTGGGTATAGCTCAAGAAAACTTTAAGGGCATCAAGCACGTGTTAGCACCGGATATGGCTTTTGGTATAGGAATGCTTCCTCGTCAATTGCCTCCAGCTTTTGATGTGATCTGGCTAAAGAGGGGTGACAAAGAATCCCCGGGCTATACAACTGACGATTTACCCAAAAATATTTCATTCACGTACCACGTGAGTGATTACCTGAGATGGCAATCAAACAAAGGAGCCACGGACATGGAGACGTCTTTCTTGATCGCCACTGCCGGGTTGCAGTTTCTACAGCGGGGACGGGTTCTTATCACAGATCGTCTCCACGGACACATTCTGAGCACCCTCCTCAACATTCCTCATGTTTTGTTGGACAACCCGCCTTTTCTTAAACTCTCGTCCTTCCACAAAACCTGGACGGCAAGTCAAAGCAATGTGGTCTTGGTGACGGATAAACACCAGGCTGTTAGAGAGGCTCAGAAACTTCTGGAGCGATACGATTCAGTGTTGCCTAAAGTAGGCCCTTTCATGAGTAAAAAAATCTGGGAACACTAAGTCGAGCTAACTTCACGCAGAATAGATTCAGTAAGGGTAATGATGGATTGAAGCAGAAGTACGTGTATATGCATGCCAGTAAGAAATGTAGTTTATAAAAAGGAAACAGAAAAAGCAAGGGAAAAGAAGAGAAAGTAAACAAGAAAGGCTGAAGAAGAAGGAATTAAAATAAAACAGGTAAATAAAAATGTCAGGTTTCGCAAATCTAGGGGCCAATTTCTGCTGTCTGACACATGTGCTAAATGTGCGTTGTCAGTAGAAAACAATGAACACGAGAATCTTTCACAAAGAAAAGCACGGCCACTTACTTGCTCTTATGCACACGCCACTGCAGCAGTGTCAATCGTACCTACCCATACCTACAACCCCCCCCTCTCTCTCTCTCTCTCTCTCTCTCTCTCTCTCTCTCTCTCACACACCCAAAAACAAGCTGTTCCAGCCCTCATTATATCATTATAAAAAATCCCGGGGTGTTTGCCCGTACGCCCCCCCCCCAGGGCCGCCGAGAGCCAGGTCGGGCCCTGGGGCAGCAAATACCTTAGGGTACCTTATTTATTTATTTTAGCTTTTGCAAGCCCTGTTTCTACCAGCCTTTCAGTTTCCACAGATACTCTTGGTCAGAGGTAATGGTGCCGGTCGCCGTTGCCTGTAATCACCCGGAGGAGAGTAGTGACGTTACTAATTAAATTATTATTATTATTCGCATTTGACACCTACAGCCGTAATGTCTTTGCCACTCACCAATCTTGGCTTGCGTAATGAATTACTTACTTGAATTACTTGAATGTAGAACTTGGGTCTTAGGAAGACGGGGTGCTCCATGCTTCCTCGCCCCTCTTCATGAGGGTCCATTTCAGTGTGGGCAGGCTGATTGTCTCCATCATCAGCTGGTTGTTGTAGCATCTGATGGGGTCACGCAGGCTGCTTCTCCTACCTTCACCAGGCTGTACTCCTTTCGCAATTACAACTCCTTCATGAAGGAGTCCTCTTCACGGCTGCTGGCTAGGTGATCTCGGACAAGGGCTACTACTACAGTTGGATGGTCAAGAGTACGCACTCCCTCAATGTTTGTGGAGCCTAAAGAACGCAAAGATTAAATTCAGTCACTTGTGGTGTCCGAGTCATCGTTAAAAGATGTTGCGTTTATGGTCTTCCGCTACTGTACAATGTACACCTAATTGGTTTGTTTTGTTTTTGTCTTTTAGACACTAGTGAAGATTTAGAGACTTGTTTTCTAGGATGAGGCGTCTTTGAAATATAATTATATGGACCATAGAGTATGGTTTATTTTCTTGCTTTTTACACTCTCGAACGACTATAGAACCCTTGGATCCCTGACGGACTGCTGATATCGATAACTTGTAAATACACTTTTTGTAACATGTTTTCTTATAACCTAGGAGCATGTTTTTTTTTTTTTAAACAACAAATCTCAATGCAAACACCCACTTTTTTGTTTTGAAAATCGGATAGTAGATCATCATCATCATCATCATCATCATCATCATCATCATCATCATCGTCATCGTCGTCGTCGTCGTCGTCGTCGTCGTCGTCGTCGTCGTCATCAATAGTGTAAATCATCAAAAGTATGAAAAATAAACAATAGTTTCTTTCCAAACAGTGTCTTTTAAAAACTTTTCCTTAATCGTAATTGTCACACACACGCATTTTACTCAGTACTTACCAATATTCAGCACCATACCAGGACATAGAACAAAAAACCCCAACCAAAACAATCCCCCCCCCAAAAAACAAACAAACACACACACACAGACACACAAACACACTCACAATAAATAAAGAATAATTTAAAATGTGATGACGTTGGCGTTGAGATGCAGAAAAAAATTTGGAATTTCTTAAAATTAGTGTTCTCCAGTCTTCACTTGAATGCCTGTATATTTGGTTTTTGGATCAACTCATTCCAAATACCAACTTCAAATAATATACCACGATAGGAGACAACGATGTGGCGATGACTTGTAAAAGGTGGCCACATTATTTGGAGAACGAAAGAGTCGCTTTATGAAGGTACACCCCTTCCCCCCTCCCAATTCCAAACCTCCCCAACCCTCGTGACCATGGTAGTGGAACTCATCATTTTACGTTGTTGATACAGGTTATGTTAGTTATTGTTGTGGATACATTTTGAGTGATGACACCCATGCTCTGGATGTTTCATTCAATTTCCAAAGAGAGCTCAAGTCAGGGGTTGCCTTGCCTTAGGGGATTCTTCTGACTCATCTAAATATATTGTTGTTTCCAGTAGGCCTACATGGGCTAATGAATGGTATACAATCGATATACAAGTTTGTGAAAGTGAGATTACATTAT